GTTGCACCCCTACTACATACCCATAACATGCAGCTGCATTTTCTTGTTGCGGACACCAGGGGCCTTCTTCACTTTGCACTGGTAGGTGCCAGTGTCCGTCGACTTCACCGTTAGGACGTTGATTGAGGCGTCGCCGTTCTTCGGATCGGGCGAATTGAAGTGGACCCGACCTTTGACGGGTGTGTCGTAGTCCTCGTAGGCTCTGTCGCCAGAGTACAAAATGATCTGTTTTGGAAATAAAGCAAAGGAAAGATTCACATTTAAACCAAAGAAAACATAAAAGCACTGCTAGAAAAAGTCAGCTGAGACGAAAGTTGTTTACTTCCTGCAAGCATTGGCTTTGTTTACTGAACCAGCTGAAATGCACAGAAGCAATAAAGGACAGTCTCTTATCTCTGCGCTGCCCTTCAGCCTGCCAGCCTCTGCTGTTTTGCCCTTTCTGTGCGTAAGAAGAATGAAGGTGGAACAAACAAAGCCGGCACTGTGGAGCTAAATCAACACCTGCTGTGTCAACAAAGCTCCCAATTCTATCCGACCACTTCACCACACACACGCACACAACTGTCTGGGTCTTGAAAGCAGCAAGGAAATGCCTCGAAATAAAGGCCAGGTGGAGCTAATGAGAGGCTTTGTAGCTAGAAGTGGGCAGATAGTGGAGGGGGGAACAGAAACACAGAGAAAAAGAACAGAGGCTACAAGAAACACAAACAATGAAAAGAATTTTCATTCTCTTTCACAGACGCTGGCATCTTCTACACATTTCCATGGAGACAGTCATCAGCAGGCTTTTCTGTGCCATGATCAACAGCAATACCCCAGAGTGGAGACGAGCAGAGAGAAAGTTAACGTGGCAGGAGGAGAGGAGGAATAATGAACCTATCAGAGGAAGCAGAGCACTGAAAGAAAGCACAAGGCACAAAACAAAGGAGTCGGCGAGCTTCTAACGTCTACGCCGACTCGCCCTGCCTCTCAATTCCCAACTGGACGCCTGGCTTCTCGAGACAGGCGACCTCACAGTGCCCGCTGTGTTCATCTTGTACGTATTAGCCGTGTAAACAGGTAATTGTGGTAAAATTCCTCTTGGCTCTCAGGGGAGGAAAACCTATCCTTCTGACTTCACTGGGGATCACAACATCAGCAGCAATAACAGAGATGAGCGCGATGAGACCACGGTGGAGAGGAAATTAAATTGCCCCGAGCTCAGCCAGACGAGAGCTCTCACTTGGGCTCAACTACTTCACAGATGGGAGTGCTTATGCACATGCACACCTCCAGCTAAAATAAATAAAGAACTGCACAATAACCTTGAGAATAATAAAAAAAAAAGATCATGAAACCATAAAGGGCAAATGACTCGACCAGCTGGAGAAGGACAGAAGTGCTGCATCTCACAACAGGTAGGCTGTGTGACGACGCAATCGCCAGCTGGCCTACCGTTCAATGTGACTGAATGGTAGGCCGCTGCAGAGGCGAGAAGAGCTCTACCGGCCAGTTTCATGGAGCACACGATGAGATGACATCATCGTCATGTGATGCTGTTACTCGGGGAGTGAAAGAGGAAAAGCTGCAGCTCATTTGAGAGGCAAAGCACACGGCAGCAATACCTGTATCATCTAAACAACCTGCAACCTGCACCCTTCTGTCTCTGCACTCCCACCGAGGCTGGTGACTCGGACGGCTCAACGTGCCGCCGCCGCCACCTTTCAGGGGACGGGCTCGAACCGATTCACAAGGTTAGCGCTCGATCTCTACCTGAAAATGAGCCTCTGAATAGAAACGATTCAACTTTCACCAAACCTCGTCACATTTTTACACAAATCCTTCAATATACAGAAATTCCCGTTTCAATAACGTCGACAAACAAAAGGCTCTGCTGTTACACTCAAAGATAAACGAAGCAGTTTGTGCGACAGAGCTGTGTGCTCTTTCTCCTGCTCACATCAGGTTTCCTAATTGTTTTCTGTTGTTTTCACATTGGTGGCGAATACTCAGTCAGGGCACGCCCTCCCTTCAGCAGCTCTGTAGCCAGGCAATGAGAGCCAAATGCAAATGACTGATACTGTAGGCATGTCTGGCATCTCACACTGAGGCCTAACAAAGCAGGATGCATTAGCTATGCTTCACCACCCTGAAAAAGATCCTGACGATATGTAGGATGTGTCAAATAAAAGGCGCTGCCACTACGTCGATGCTGAGAAGAGCTCAAACATAAAGCACATTAAAGCTTCAAATGAGGTCACCGGCATAGGCCACACATGCCACACAACCCCAGCCTTGTGTCCTGATCTTACAGACTAGCTCTCTATTTAAAAATATTATCTGACAGCAGCCTTTCCCTTTGTCTGGATTTCCACAGCTCAGGTGAGCAAAGGCTCCGAGCCTCTGGCTAAAAACTTTCATTGCTCCGACTCCGGCAGCTTTGCTCTCAGCAGGCTGGCCTAATTCTATTGAACACTGTCACATATATTAAAAATGGCAATTTGGAGTTAACACGCCGCTAATTACAAAGAATTTACTGTGCGCACGACTTCACGTTGGTTAACGGCTACACAAATCTGAGCGTGCGTATGTAGCGAGAAAAATCTGATAGGTCAAGGAGAACAAATATGTTCAGAGAGAGACGTCCGACTTGTCCAAATCCCTCCCAAGGTTTGGAAACATTAACACATGTGCACACTGGAGCCAGCGAAATGGCACGTAATAAAGACAATAAACTGTGGAATCAAAGGCTTTTTGGGGGTTTTTGATATATTTCTGCAGCTGTATTCAGACACAAGGAAAAGGCCGTCCTAAAAACCACAATCACATAGTTTTTAAGTGAACGTGTATTTCCTCCCACACTCCAGCTAATGAGTCACAGCAAAAAGAAACAGAGTTAAAGGCAGAACTGTACAGACAGTCAGTTCTACCTGACTGAGAGGGGGGCTGGTTGGGACTGCAGACAGAAACAACAGTGGGTGGAGGACAGAGATGCCTAATGATGAGGCTGTGACCCATTTATAACATTTGGCTCACAAAAAAGCCAAAGGACGCAAGGGAAGGAGAAAAAAAAAGGAGAGAGGGATGAAAAAGCTTTGTGACAGGTGGCAGAGCAGAGAGCCACGGGAGAGGACCGTCCCACAGTAGAAACCATCTCTAAAGGCTGTTTCAGGCACTCCGCTGGCTTCATCTGTTAAAGTGATGGCATTCTTTCATTCAGACATAGTTAATACTCCTCATGGCTTCACATTTAAACACTGAACGAGGCTGCCGTTAAATGGAGGATCTCCACGTGCTGTCAGGGCTTCAGCAGCTTCCCAAGCTCTTTTCAGAG